TACTGAATTGTCCCTTTATTTAACACCAATTTGACGGAATGACAAATGGAGGACTAAATTGAGCGAAACACAAAAGTCTGGGACGATATTACGTCACCAAAGTTGTTTAGGACGAAATTGAAAAAAAACCACTATAGTCGATAACCACTTTGGGTATTAACTCACCAAAAAAGTGACTTATTTTAATTAAACTCAAGTATTTGATTCTCATTACCTGATAATAGTTTTAGACTACTAAATAAGTAATAAGATCTAAAATCCGAATCCTAAATATGTAATAAGATCTAAAATCCGAATCCGACTACACCAAGTAATAAGTATTGGATGAGAATACAAACTACATACAAAGCCTTCGTTTAAGCTCCTTACTCCTTTTCCCACTCAAACTTCTATATCGATGGCAGTTGCTGATTTATAGCCGACTCTTACTACGAATCTGTTCATCACCAGCTCTCTCTCTCCAAAACTGAATCCGTTCGTTTCTTCACAACTTTCTCCTGTCAGAGAACTGCGGAGATCGATAAGATCACAGTAGAAGCGAGCTAAGGAATCTGCGGCAGCAATGGTGGAAGTAGTGGAGGACAGAGAATGGTTGGGAGACGACAAACGCGACGGCGGAGAAGAAGCGGAGGACAAGAGGCTATCGGCGACGGAGTATGTTTTCCGGAACACGGAAGTTCCGTCGTGGAAGGAGCAGTTGACGGTGCGATCCATGGTGACTAGCCTGGTGCTGAGTTTGGTGTTCAACTTCATCGTCTGCAAGCTCAATCTCACCACCGGTGTGATTCCGTCCCTGAACGTCGCCGCCGGGCTGCTCGCGTTCAGCATTATCAAGTTCTGGACCACCGCTCTCCACCGGATGGGGTTCATCGTCCAGCCGTTCACCAGGCAGGAGAACACCGTTGTCCAGACGTGCGTCGTTGCTTCCTCCGGCATCGCCTTTAGCAGTAAGTTTTCGATCTCCTGTTAATTCAAGCTAACAGACCTTAATTAATTCAAGTTTGGGAGGGCTTAATATAAGTTGATGTTTTCAAACATAAGCCTAGTGTTAATTATTTGCCTAAACCTTAGGGGTTCAGATGAAATTATTTGGATCACAACGCAAAATACTACTAATTTTGAGGTTTTTAATTACTTCATATAAGTTATGAGTGTTTGATATACATTTATTGATCAGTATTTAGTCCATTTTGATAAAGATGTTCATATTTGTTATCAATAGTAGTAGGTTTCATAGGATAGAGTAAGATTTTACGTTCTAGTCTTGTGAATGGAGCAATTGGTATTTATAGAATTTTAACTATAGTTTTTGAAGTTAGATTAATATGCGCCTTGATCAATAAGTCTTTGAAATTTGTTCTCCTTAATAATCTCTTCCTTATAATTTGTTTTGGATAACATCCATATGATCAGGTGGAACAGCATCTTACTTGTTGGGCATGATCCCTAGAATTGCAGACCAAGCAGAAGTAGGGAATACTCCAAATAATGTCAAGGATCTTTCTATTGGGTGGATGATGGGATTCCTTTTCGTTGTGAGCTTTGTTGGTCTTTTTTCAATCGTGCTCTTCAGAGGGGTATGCATACTTTTTTTTTTTTTTTTTTCATTCTAATTCTTTGATCAAATCAATAAGTTATAAGAAAAATTATTAGTTCCACTAAACATATTCTAAGTGGAATTTGCACTCTTTTGTTTTTCCTAGATGATGGTTTTGAAGTTCAAGCTCACATATCCTAGTGGAACTGCAACAGCTTACCTTATCAACAGTTTCCACACGCCAAAAGGAGCCAGGCTAGCCAAGTAATATAATTAATTTAAGCACAAAAACTTTATATTGCCTAACCCTCTTTTGCTTCATCATCACTTTATGTGTTTTTCTTCTCTAAATCTACCTACATTTTAACTAAAAACTCTTTCTTTTATGCTATGCCTGTAGGAAACAAGTGTCGATGCTCTTCAAATCCTTTTCATTTAGCTTCGTATTCGCAGCCTTCCAGTGGTTCTTCGCAGGTGGTGATGATTGTGGCTTTGCCAGCTTCCCTACATTTGGTTTGCAAGCCTATGCTAAAAGGTAATTAACTTTGGTTAGCTTAATCCTCACAATATCCCATCTACACACACTAGGCACATGTTTGGTATTTGGTTGTGGGTCATAGAGAAATTAAACTTGCATAACTTTTGAACACACCTTTTAAGCTAGCAGATATGGTTACAATCTAGAGTGGTATATATATATGTGGCAATCTATCTGAACTAATAACCTTCATTATTTCAGATTCTACTTCGATTTCTCGTCGACATATGTTGGTGTTGGCATGCTTTGCCCTGCTATGATTAATATCTCCTTGCTTTTTGGAGCTGTAATTTCATGGGGAATAATGTGGCCCTTGATTGAAGCCAAGAAGGGCATTTGGTATTCTGCTGACATTCCAGCATCCAGTCTTCATGGCATTCAAGGATACAGGGTATGTATGTAGCTAGTCATTTTATTTACTTCAAATTAATCATTTTTTTGGGACAAACGGAAACAGCACTGGGCAAATCCCGCCTATAAAGAGATAAAACTGCTTAGGTTGTTCATAGCTGACCAGGTCAAACCAAAAGGATTACAAGTTTATATCTTTAGTCATCTTAATTGGGTTACCCCCAATAATCATGCTTGGTGATCGTCTTAATTATTAACAATATTTCTTTGTGTGCATGATAGGTGTTTCTTGCCATTGCCATGATTCTTGGAGATGGTCTCTTCCACTTCGTGATTATGATCATAACAACAACTGTGAGTCTAATGAAGCGTAAGTCAGAGTCAAGAAGTGCTGGCAATTCCACCAATGAGGGAGAAGACTACGATGAAAATATAAGGACTGAATACTTCGTGAAAGACTCTATCCCGAAATGGGTTGGAGTAGGCGGATACGCTGCACTTGCAGTGGTCTCCATAATCGTGGTGCCGTTAATATTCCATCCGCTAAAATGGTACCACATTCTGGTCGCCTACGCCATAGCTCCCGTCCTAGCTTTCTGCAACGCCTATGGCTGCGGTCTCACCGACTGGTCCCTCGCGTCCAACTACGGCAAAGTCGCCATCCTGGTTTTCAGCTCCTGGGTGGGCCTCAACAACGGCGGAGTCCTCGCCGGCCTCGCGTCCTGCGGCGTAATGATGAGCATCGTCTCCACGGCTTCCGACTTGATGCAGGATTTCAAGACGGGCTACCTCACCCTCGCCTCGCCGCGCGCGATGTTCTTCAGCCAGGTGATGGGCACGGCGATGGGGTGCGTGATGACGCCGCTGGTGTTCTGGATTTTCTACAAGGCGTATCCCATCGGAGACCCCAACGGCTCCTACCCGGCGCCCTACGCCCTCATGTACCGCGGCATCGCCTTGCTGGGCGTGGAGGGGTTCGGCTCCCTCCCCAAGCACTGCCTCGCACTCGCCGTCGGGTTCTTCGTGGGGGCGATTGTAATCAACGTTTTGACTGAGGTGCTGAAGAAGTACGAAACCAAATACAGGATATATCGGTTCATTCCTAACCCCATGTGCATGGCCATCCCGTTCTACCTCGGCGGCTACTTCGCCATCGACATGTGCGTGGGGAGCTTGATTCTCTTTTTCTGGCATCGGGCGAGCAAGCAGAAGGCCAAAGACTTCGGCCCCGCCGTCGCGTCGGGGCTCATCTGCGGGGAGTCGTTGTGGGGAATTCCGGCAGCTATACTGGCTTTAGCGGGTGTCAACGCCCCACTATGCATGAAGTTCGTCAAATCTTAATTAATTTAGTGTACATTTTAGACAACAATTAGCTGGCTTTAGTTCCTCAATTTGTTTTAGCCTTTTTTTGTTAGAGATTTAGACAGTACTATTTTGCTTTAATTTGTTAAGATCAGTGGTGTTTAACCTAATATTTGTTTTTTTCATTTATAATTCTCTTGATTTTGATAAAATGCTTAGTAAAATATTATAACATTAAAATAAAAAAGCAATACGTATTCAACAAATTATACAACTCGTGAATATTTATAAATAAGAAATCTATAAGTCGTGAAAATTTAAAAATAAGAGAAATCTATAAGTGCGATTCATATTCTCATCAATTCTTGCCCAGATTAATTGACAGCATACACACTCAATGCATTCTGCATTCACACTTTCCTAAAAGATAAATTTATGATTAATTTCCTCAAATTTTGATTTGAACCTAGCTTTGTGATTTTTTTTATTTTTTATTTTTAAACTTAGTACTTACTTGAAAATGAAAATTAGAAAAATAGTATTTAAAATTAGTAGTTCATAAAAAATAAGTAATTTCAGACAATTTTTTTTTTTTTTTGAAGACGTAATTTCAGACAATTTGGTTGCTATAGATTTGCATAGATTGATTAACCTATAAAATAGGATTAAATGGTGAGAAAAGTTTAATAGGTGAATTTAATCTAATTTGTTATTCTCATTGCAAAAGGGAGAAAAAATTATGAAAATTGAGATTTCTTTGTTTTTTTTTTTTTTTGTTTTTTGTTTTTTTTTTATATATAACTATATTTATAAAATTATAAAGTATAAATATTTAATTATATATTGATTATCTTATTATATTACCTAACAAGTAACAAGTAAAAAAATTTTGAGTTGTGTCAACTGATATCACTCAATTATTATATATACATAGCTCTAGCTTTGTTGAATATTCTTTTCTTAATTAATTAATCTTTTGGATTAATCCTAAATTTTATGATTCTCTCTGCTTCTCTATATCAATTCATCTAAATTTAAACTATAATCTTTGTTTATTGTTACAAAGATTACAATAATAAATGCATACAAAGATTATAATTAAATGAAGTGTTTAAAAAAAAAGTAAAAATATTAGCGAGCAGTTAAGAATAAGTTGTAGTAATTAAGTAGCAAGTTCCCACACTCTCATCAACTCCCACTATATATAAATATATATATTTCTCTCCCTTGTTGATTCTAGAACCTCTTCTCTTGTGGGCGTTACACATTGCATGCAATTTCCCGCCCTTCTTGATTCTCTCAGAGCTGCGCTGAATCGGGGAGGAAATGATGGAATCAACGCTGTCCGCTACGTCGGCGTTTTTCATCAAATTCGCCAATTTCCCTCTCATTGCTGCTCTTATTGCCTGCCTTGTTGCCCAATTCATCAAATTCTTCATTTTCCGGTAAACCCTACTTCTATTACCATAAACTTTATTGTTATTATTATTTTCTTTAATGAGTTTTTGTTATTTAAGAAATCTTGAAATTTGGGTTCATGTTTGATTTTGGGTGGCTGTGTTAGTTTGATCAATATGCTTCCGTTGCTATGATTTGGACAAAGATTATACATATTAGCATAGCATTATTTCTTGAAATTTCTTTCTATTTATTTTTAAGATTCAGTTCAAAGTGGAATATTACTTAAGTTGAAAGAAGATTTTGGGAATGAGATCACATTACAGTATAGCTAAGAAATGCTATAAACCACATCTTCTGAAAAGATTGAATCTCTGTTAAGAAATTAAAAAAATTAAAGAAAGCAGAAAAGGGAATTTCAGTTTGTGTTTAGATTTTGTGATTATTGGATGAGGAGATGGTGTTTAACTTGGAGTTCCATCCATACATACACAATTTATGCCATAGAATTATTGTCACTGCGATTCAGGGATAGGACTTATGTATGTGATATAAAAATAAATATTGTAGAATATTAATCTCGAGAGGCTTGTAGGTACAAGGAAGGGCAATGGAATTTCAAGAGACTTATTGGATATGGTGGTATGCCATCATCCCATTCAGCCATTGCAACTGCCCTAGCAGCAGCTATTGCCTTGCATGAGGGATTTCGAGGACCACCTTTTGCCACCGTACTGGTTTCCGCTTGTGTGGTATCATCTCTTTCTCTCTTGATAATTTTGTATTCTTATGTCAGTGTTATTAAGACTATTTAGTTTAATTTATGGGTCTTTGCATAATTGCATTTCATCTTTAGAGTTTAGTTGTTGTTAGGGCTTCGTGACAAAGAAATTCTCTGTTAATTGAATTAATTGATCATTGCCCTTGCATGCCACGCAATGTCATAAATGTCCTGTGCAAATTATTGCTTGTGGAGATGATCGTTCATACCTGACTGAGTTTCTGATCCTAACGGACTTTGGTCAAGCATAACTGCATGAGCGGTGACCTAAATTGAGTGTTCTGTTTCAAATGAATGTTTTAAAGAGTACACTGCAGTCTTTCTTGACTTTGCCGTAAATTATTTTTCATCCTGCTCTGAAGATTTCTAATGTGTGGCAGAAAAATTTTGACAGGTGATGTGTGATGGTATATGCGTGAGATTAAAGGCACAGGCCGAACAACAAGCAGAGGTTTGATGTTGTCTCTGTTGCTGTGTGTGTGTGCGTGCGTGTTTTTTTTTTTTTTTTTAATTTTTTTTTAAAAATATTTGTCTGTAAGTGATATGAATGTTTATTTGCGTTTGTTGTAGAAATCAAGAAGTCAAACTTGTGCATAATTTTGAGCTTCATCTTTTGCATAATCAAGAAATCATATGGATTTTAGACCTTTTAATTTGAGATTGCAATTATTCAAAAAATTCAATGTGATTCATTCTCAGGTTGTGAATCAAAACGAACCCGGACTTCCCACTGAGCCTCTTCTAGCTGTAAGTGATATGAATGTTCATTTGCATTTGTTGTAGAAATCAAGAAGTCAAACTTTTGCATAACTTTCAGCTTCATCTTTTGCATAATCAAGAAATCAAGAAATCATATGGATTTTACTTTTTAGACCTTTTAATTTGAGATTGCAATTATTCAATAAATTCAATGTGATTCATTCTCAGGTTGTGAATCAAAACGAACCCGGACTTCCCACTGTGCCTCTTCTAGCTGTAAGTGATATGAATGTTTATTTGCGTTTGTTGTAGAAATCAAGAAGTCAAACTTGTGCATAATTTTGAGCTTCATCTTTTGCATAATCAAGAAATCATATGGATTTTAGACCTTTTAATTTGAGATTGCAATTATTCAAAAAATTCAATGTGATTCATTCTCAGGTTGTGAATCAAAACGAACCCGGACTTCCCACTGAGCCTCTTCTAGCTGTAAGTGATATGAATGTTCATTTGCATTTGTTGTAGAAATCAAGAAGTCAAACTTTTGCATAACTTTCAGCTTCATCTTTTGCATAATCAAGAAATCAAGAAATCATATGGATTTTACTTTTTAGACCTTTTAATTTGAGATTGCAATTATTCAATAAATTCAATGTGATTCATTCTCAGGTTGTGAATCAAAACGAACCCGGACTTCCCACTGTGCCTCTTCTAGCTGTAAGTGATATGAATGTTCATTTGCATTTGTTGTAGAAATCAAGAAGTCAAACTTTTGCATAATTTTGAGCTTCATCTTTTGCATAATCAAGAAATCAATAATCTCATATGGATTTTAGACCTTTTAATTCGAGGTTGCAATTATTCAATAAATTCAATGTGATTCATTCTCAGGTTGTGAATCAAACCGAACCCGGACTTCCCACTGAGCCTCTTCTAGCTGGAAGCACACCACCATCTGGAAGCACACTACTGCACAAGCTTTTGAGTCACACCTGGCTTGAGGTTTGTGTTTATGCTTTTCAGTATAACAACTGCAGAGTTTAATTGCAGAGTGAAGCGTTTTTATATATGAGCGACGATTTCACTATATTCTGCAGGTTGTCTTTGGTGGATTATTGGGAATTGGCATAGCAGTAAGTATTCATTCAACCAAAGTTTTGCATGTGTACCATTATTGCGGATCAGATGTGCCCCAAGGCTACTGTAGATTGCCGAATAACACATATTCTTACTGAGTCTCTTAGCAGAAATTAAACTTTTTTAGACATACTGAATGTATACGAGAACATGCACATATGTTGATGTATTGTGAATGTATAGGTGACAATTGATAAGTAGAATGTGTTAATGCTAGCTAGCCTTCTTCTTGATGTATAGTAGCATATGAATTGAAGAGCTTTCATGAAATACATAATATAGCTTCTAGCATTGTCTTCACCACTAGTGCCAACTTTCTGCTTCAATTCTTTCATCTCAATCTCTTTATGATGATCAGTTTCTTTAGTGTCTTGTTTGGATAATGGAGTATGGTAGAAGCTTAATGTGATATTTTTGAGTCACGAGGAAAACCCGTAGTCATTACTCGGTGTGTACTGCGTAAATCCAGTACTTTAGTAAGAACTGCAAGGAGGTAAACCAGTCTAGGTTGTTTATAGTTGATCGGTTCAAACCAAGAAGTTAATAGGTCACTCCTGCAGGGAATCACTTGTAACCTTATGATTACCAAGTTAACAATCTGGCCAACTTAGTTGGGGTTGTCCTTTAATGTGATATTTGTTTCAGGAATAAGTTGGAAATAGAATAATGTTTTGCGAAATAAATTAACATGGTTTGTTTTTTATTTTGCGGAATATCTTTGTAATGGGAATTAAATAGTCTTCTCAAAGAGACCATTGTATGACAAAACTACAAAAGTAATTTTTTTTTATTTAATTTAATACGTCTTTTAATCTCTTTTATAGTCCCTAGCTATTTCATTTTATGTCATGTTTATTATTCATTAGTCAAATTAAGTTTTCATTTTGCTTATTTTCTATAGTATTTTATTACGGAGTACAATTTTTAACTTTGTGATTTTTTGTGTTACTTTTTATATAATATAGTAAATTTGGCAAAAATTGTTATTACATTGTCTCATGAACTCTTATCCATAAAAAAGGTCGGGTCATTTTCTCTTGTAAATATTATAAATTTTCTTATAAGTAACTTTTTAACATTAAGTATTACATTTTGACTTAAAAGTTAAAAGTATTACATTTTTCTTAAAAAGTCATATTTTCCCCATATAAGTAATAATTAATTTATCCATGACTACTATTACACTTTTTCTCATAATAAGTATTATGTTTTCTGGCATAAGTAATAATTGATTAATTTATCATTGATTAGTATTACATTTTTTTTCATAAGTAACTCTTCAACCTTTAAATATTACATTTTTTCTCAAAAAGTATTATAATTTTCAATATAGGTATTACACTTACCCTCATAAGTAACAATTAATTTATGTCTAATTAGTATTACATTTTCCACCATAAATATTACGTACATTTCTATTTTTACATGACCTGTCTCACGAAAAAGGATATGTGAAATGGTTTCATATGAGACTCACCTTTAAAAGGTTGACACGACATGGATTGATCAATTTATTTATTTTTAAATACTAATTGACCCAGCTATGTGCACCACAGTCCACACAATAGTTTGCCTTATTGGGATGCTTAGTAATGCAAAAAATAAAATAATAATAATAATAATAATAATAATAATAATAATAATAATAATAATAATAATAATAATAATAATAATAATAATAATAATAATAATAATAATAAAAACGTTTAATATGTTGTGATACCACTTTAAAAATGCTAGATTTCATTTAGCACAAATTTAGTTTTACTCTTCCAAAAGGTTGAACCCCACCTTAAGGGGCCCCCCACACCTCGGTCTGACACAAATTTGGTTTTATTTAATATACTCATGTTAAAAATGAGAACTACTCCATTGTAAGAATATGCAGACTAGTCTTATATGTCCATCTAAAAATAATCAAGAGTTAAACATTTAAAAAAAAAATGTAGTAACATTTTGTAGTCACAATTGTGTATTTGAGAATGCATGACTATACATTTGAAAATACTTGAAGGTGTATTATATTATTTACTTTTACTAAATATTCCGTTAACTATTTATTATCGTTAACTTACTCATTGATTTTTATAAAGAATGTCTTAGGTTCGATCTTCATCCCAATCAAAATCAACATAATTGTTAAACATGCATATGCTATGAATATGTTAGACTGTATTAAAAAAATACAAAATAAAATTTAAAATAAACTTTGATCAATTAATTAGAATCATGCATTGAACATAGATGAAACGGTACACCTAATTTACAGTATATATCAACATAGATGAAAAATATATATGCCTATTATCATTGTGTTTTGGGGAAGGATGATTTTGTTATGTTTTTGAAGGTGCACTTCAAGGCACTAAAATTGCAGTAAAGCACACAGGGGACTAGATCAAATCAAGAATTCATTTATCACGGAAGTAGCAACAAGAGGAATCATGGATCACACCAATTAATAAGGTTTTTTGTTGCAAAAAACTATGCTTGAGTACTATCCAGTGAAGGTGCTTCCCTTTAAAACTGCTATTGCACCAGTTAATCTAATATTTCTGTCATAAATCATACATATACATTCTTGAAATATTATTATTATTATTATTATTATTATTATTATTGAAAATATTATTATTATGTTAATAGCATGTTATATTTTAACCTAATTTAATGTGTTATTAATCATTTAATGAGTGATGTGGTAGAAATATTATCGCCATGCATGTCATCTGGCCACCTAAGCATACTTAACGGTGTTAATAAATTCACTTAATTATGCCGGCTCATATTATAGCCAAGTACTCTACCAAAAAAAAAAAATATTATAGCCCAAGTAATCTCTTTGTAGTACAAATAGTGAGCTGTGTGAGCTTTTTGATTTTATTCCTCGCTGTTTGTCGGGTTTGTTTTATACGAATGTTTCTATGGTTTAATGAAGTTTGTGGCTTTTGTTTTCAAAAAATAAAAAATAAAAAATAAATTCACTTAATTATTCTATTTTTAATAGTATAGGCCGGGAATATATTGACCAATTTTATACAGAGTAGTAGAATGATTAAATTGAATATTCCACAATAATACAATCACTAATGAAAAACTTAAACCAATAATATTATTCAATGACAATGACAACCTTGATCTCTTACATACTATCCGTAATAAAAACAACAAATAAACTGTCAAAATCAGGTTAAAATTTTGTCATGTATGTTAGGTTGAATTTGTCCAACATGATATGATGCTCCTAGCTAGCTTAGCCATGTTCTTAGGGCATCCTAGTAATATATGCACATGTAGTAAGAATATTTTAGACTTGATTGGTTATAAAATGATTATAGAATGGATATAATAATAGAAACTATCTATTATTAATTTGCTGTAAAAAGTAAAAATAAATATTACATAAAATGTGACTACCCGCTCCTATAATATTTACAAACGTTTAGGACAGAATCTTCTCTTGAGATGTATTGAAAAATAAGAAGTTAGGTTTAGAGCGAGTGATCTAGTAAGTCATGTATTCATCGTCTTATGAATGTTCTGAATTGAGCAAATTCAATCACATTGCAAGAGACTTTGTACTACTAATAACTTCAAGCATATATATATATATATATATATATATATATATATATATATATATATATATATATATATATATATATATATATATATATATATATATCTTTAGAGTTTATAAAATTATTTTTAAAAATTTTTGGAAGGGTCAATTTAGAATATAAAATTACTTTCTCTATTTTAAAAGGTTTCTCTAGAGTTTATAAAATTATTTTTAAAAATTTTTAGAAGGGTAATTTTAGTACATAAAATTACTTTCTATATTTAGAAAGGTTCTCTAGTGTTTATAAAATTATTTTTAAAAATTTTTGGAAGGGTCAATTTAGTACATAAAATTACTTTCTATATTTAGAAAGGTTTTCTAGAATTTATAAAATTATTTTTAAAATTTTAAGAATGGTCAATTTAGTACATAAAATCACTTTCTATATTTAGAAAGGTTCTTTAGAGCTTATAAAATTATTTTTAAAAATTTTTGGAAGGGTGAAATTAGTAAATAAAATTACTTTCTATATTTAGAAAGTTTTTCTAGAGTCTATAAAATTATTTTTAAAAATTTTTTAAAAATTTTTGAAAGGTTCAATTTTGTACATAAAATTAATTTCTATATTTAGAAAGGTTCTCTAGAGCTTATAAAATTATTATAAAAAGTGTTTGGAATGGTCAATTTAGTACATAAAATTACTTTCTATATTTAGAAAGGCTTTCTAGAGTTTATAAAATTATTTTTAAAATTTTTGGAATGGTCAATTTAGTACATAAAATTACTTTCTATATTTAGAAAGGTTTTTTAGAGATTATAAATTTATTTTTAAAATTTTTGGAAGGGTCAATTTAGTACATAAAATTACTTTCTATATTTAGAAAGGTTATCTAGAGTTTATAAAATTATTTTATAAAATTGTTGGAAAGGTCAATTTAGTACATACAATTACTTTATATATTTAGAAAGGTTTTTAGAGTTTATAAAATTATTTTTAAAAATTTTTGGAAGGGTCAATTTAGAACATAAAATTACTTTATATATTTAGAAAGATTTTCTAGAGTTTATAAAATTATTTTTTAAAATTTGTGGAAGTGTCAATTTAGTACATAAAATTACTTTCTATATTTAGAAAGTTTATCTAAAGTTTATAAAATTATTTTTAAAATTTTTTGAAAGGGTCAATATTGTACATAAAATTACTTTCTATATTTAGAAAGGTTTTTTAGAGTTTATGAAATTATTTTAAAAAATTTTTGGAAGGTTGAATTTAGTACATAAAATTACTTTCTATATTTAGAAACGTTCTCTAGTGTTTATAAAATTATTTTTAATAATTTTATGAAAGGGTCAATTTAATACATAAAATTACTTTCTATAATTAAAGTTTGTCTAGCGTTTATAAAATTATTATTAACAATTTTTGAAAAGGTCAATATTGTACATAAATTTTTTTCTATATTTAGAAAAGGTTCTCTAGAGCTTATAAAATTATTTTATAAAGTGTTTGGAAGGGTCTATTTAGACCTAAAATTACATTCTATATTTAGAAAGGTTTCTAGAGTTTATAAAATTATTTTTAAAATTTTTGGAATGGTCATTTTAGTACATAAAATTACTTTCTATATTTAGAATGGTTCTCTAGTGTT